ACGATGTGTTTATTACCATTTGGGTCAATTATTGCGTAACTGCCTTTGGTAACACTTCCTTCCTGGTCTTTTACATCTCCTGGCGGTGCAGATTGGGGTTTAGCGTTGACGAGTGTCAAAGTGAGTATTATTAAAGCTCCGATCTAAATTTTTATCGATTAATTTGTGAGATTACAGATTAATAAATGCTTAAACTTACATGTTTCATTGCTGATTTGAACACTGTTGGTGTTAAAAGAAAATGAGGATTTATATAGAAATATCAAATTACCGATTACTATGATTTAATTATAGAGAAGTGGTAAGTTTAATTATGATCAAATTGATTTCCAATAAACAAAAATTAAAACATTCTTTTGTATTGATGCAATTGCACAGAAAATATGACCTTTAGTATTAAATATCTCGGTAATAAGCGCAACGAAAAACCCATACTTATAGCTAATTGTCTGATGAAGATAAACATTCTAAAATAAAAAGATTTTTAAAAACATGGCATTTTTAAATCTCTCTTTGTAAAAGAAGATACTGAACTCAAATATTACAATACCTACGAAAAGGTGACTTTCTGTGCATGAGTGAGGAGTACTATTCTTTATTCTGTTTTATATGATTTAATAATTTAAATTTGCGCTAAATTACAAAATTTTGGCTGGTATGAAACTTGGCGCCTAAGAATTGTGGCGATTACTGGAAAGCACGTCTCAGATAAATAATTTTCGTAGCCTATTTTCATAGAATGTAGATTACCATTCATTATTCTGTTTTACATGTTTTAACAATTTTTAATTTGTGTCAAATTACAAAATTGGGTGGTATTGAACTTGGCGTTTGGGAAATGTGGCGATTGTCGGATCTTAAACGTCAATTATTTTAACCTCAAAATTAAGTGTCAAAACTGTCACGAGCTAAAAATACTTATTTTGCAGTAAGTTGAAAAGTAAGAATAATTATCATGTTTAATTTGTTATTTGATAGTTAGTTGTTTAGCGAAACTCAATGGAAAAATCCGACGTGTCTTTAAATGCATTTACTTGCATTACATGTCACGTGGCTTTTAAAAATGCGGAGCTCCAAAGGGAGCATTATAAAAGTGACTGGCATCGCTACAATCTAAAACGCAAAGTGTCTGAATTACCGCCGATATCGGCGGAAGATTTCCAACGTAAGGTGTACATGCAGCGAAGTGTTGAAGAAGAAAAGAAACAAGATAAAAGTGTGTATTGCCAAATCTGTAGAAAGTTATTTGGGAATCAAAATGCATACGACAACCATTTAAATTCCAAAAAACATAAAGATAACGAGAAAGACTACATAGAAAGTGATAAAGTACCAGAAGTTGAAGAATCGGATTCAGAGATTGAAGAAGTGGATTCAGATGAATGGAATGAAGACTCTGAAAACCCGGTTGACAATAACGACTGCATCTTCTGTCTACATCACAGCAAAAATTTTATGAAAAATTTGGAACATATGACTGTGGCTCATTCATTTTTCATTCCGGACGTCGAGTATTGTACTGATGTCCATGGGCTGTTACAATATCTTGGCGAAAAAATTTCAAACGGTCAATAAAACAATCTGTTGTTTTATTATTTTAACCATTCTTGTTTCAGGCTTCATGTGTTTGTGGTGCAATGAAAAAGGCCGTACGTTTTATTCTGCTGATGCTGCTAGAAAACATATGATTGATAAAGGCCACTGCAGAATGCTTCATGAAGGAGTAGCCTTGGCAGAATATGCAGATTTTTATGACTACTCAACGTCGTATCCCGACGCTGAAAGTCATACAAATCCAGATGAAGAAGTCGCTATTCCAGAATTGGACAGTACTGAGTATCAGTTAGTCCTACCCTCGGGAGTTTCCGTAGGGCACAGAAGTCTTATGAAATATTATAAACAAAACATCAGTCATAATGCAGTAGTTTCAAAACCTTCAAAGCTGCACAAAGTCTTGTCATGTTATAGAGCTTTGGGATGGACTGAAACACAACAGGAAGCAGCAGCAAAAAAAGCAAGAGACTTGCACTACATGAAGAGAATGCAAGCCAAGTTTAACCTCTCGCTAGGAATAAAAGGGAATAAATTGCAAAAACATGTGAGACCGCAAGTGAATTTTTAATTTTTTGTTGATATTGTACAAAATAAAGAACACATAAAAAACTTTATTTGGAGATAAGATACATTCCTTTTATAATTCACTTACACTCTATTTTAAATAATTGTCTGTGTTAATATCACTATGTAATAACATTATTGATAAACCTTCTCGTTTACTTTAAAAAAGCTTTAATCTTAATTACATTCATTGGAGCACTATTCCAAACATACAATTTTGACTCCTACCTTAAATTCTTATCACTGTAAAAGCGAATAAATAAAACTTAAAAGATGATGTTTTCTCGTTTCAGTCTTGAAAGTAGTCACTTATACTATGAAATCATTTCGTTCCAAGTACTGTTATTACTAGAATCACTACTAGATAAAGACACTGAAAAAATTGTTCATTACGTCATGAGTGTTTATAATAAAATAACCCCACCTGATGGTTTAGGCACCTTATCCTTTGGTCCCCATACCCTAACTGTACAGTCGTCAGAAACTGAAACAAGCATTTGTGGATAAACAGGATTCCATGCAACACAATTCACTGTTCGTGTATGGCCAGATAAAACAGCAATGGGTTGCTCATTTCTAATATGCCAGATGTATACCTGCGAATTCAATAAAAAATAATCAGGAATGAAACACGTGATAACACAGGGCGACAAAAAAAGTCATGTCGTGACAACTTGACACATTTTATATCATTTTGTTCGTCTCAGTGAGACAAATCAAATGCACTAAAAAAGTTTTTAAAAAGTCCACACACTTTGAACAAAATTATTTTTTTCTAATTTAAATGAATTTAAAATGCTTTAACTTCAAAAAATCATTATTCAATAACTATTAAGCCGATTTTCTTCAAATAAAGACCATTCTAAATTGCCCTTTAGAATGATATAAAATTTGAAATTGAATATTGGCAAACGAACACTGTTCGAAGAAGTTCGAAGTAAATCGAAATAATCTAAGAAAAACCCTACGAGTATTTTTTCGTGTAGAGCATCTCTTTATTAGTGAGAATCCAAATTTTCAAAAGAATATACCGAGTAGTTTTCAAGATATGATTTTTTGAAGTTAATGTTTGCTAATCAAGCATTGCTCCATATAGGAGAAATGCATGTTAATCTTAGTTAAAATTGCATTTTTATAAGTATTTGTTTTAAGACTCTTCTTTGGGTTAAAAATGGTCAATTGCACCTTCTTTGTTCTAATTACAATAAACAAAAATTAAAGCAAATAAAGAGTTTTTTTGTTGTAAAAATGACCACTAATCATTGAGCAAAGAGGATCTAGAAGTTTAAGGCACGAGTCTTAAATATAAGGGCAAATCAAATCACTTTCCATTCAGATTTCGACTTGTTTACTTTGCTCTAGCTTTCCGAACTTTTTTTGAAAATGTTCTAAGCAAACGCTTTCTCATCACTTTCGAGTGATGTTAAATGCAATAAGTCACCTGATTTATTTTGTTGGTACATTCTACGATTAGTTTCAGTTAGCTTGAAGGTAGTAGTTGTTGTGATAACAGTTGCACACGAAGCAACTGACTTATTGCATTCAACATCGGTAGAAAGTGATGAAAAATCATTTGCTGAGAACATTTTCAAAAAAAAGTTCAGAAAGCTAGAACAAAGTGAACAAGTTGGAATCTGAATGGAAAGTCATTTAATATGAAAAAGATTTGTTCTTATATTTAAAGCTGCTGCTTTAAACTTCTAGATCCTTTTTGCTCAATAATCAGTGATCATTTTTAGAACAAAAAAACTCTTTACTTGCTTTAATTAGTACGCAGGTACGCTTTGTTTGTTTTAAGTAAAGAAACAGTTTTTGTTTATTCTAATTAGAACAAAGAAGGTGCAATTGACCATTTTTAAGCAAAAGAAGAGCCGTAAAACAAATACTTTTATAAAAATGCAATTTTAAGTAAGATTAACATGCATTTCTCCTATATGGCGCAATACCTGAATAGCAAACCTTAACTTCAAAAAATCATATCTCGAAAACTACTCGGTATATTATTTTAAAAATTTGGATTCAAACTAATAAAAATAAGCTCTACAGGATGGTGATAAAGAAAAAAAAAGTATTCGTAGGGTTTTTCTTAGATTACTTCGATTTACTTCGACCTTCTTCGAACACTGTTCGAAAAAAAGTTTGCCAATATTAAATTTCAAATTGCATATAATTTTAAAGGGCAAGTCCATCCCTTTAGAATGGTTTTTATTTGAAGGAAATAGTTATTGAGTAATGGTTTTTTAAAGTTAAAGTATTTTAAATTCATTTATATTAGAAAAAAATTATTTAGTTCAAAGTGTGTGGACTTTTTGAATTTTTTTAGTGCATTTGATTTGTCTTACTGAGACGAACAAAATGATATAAAATTTGTCAAGTTGTCACGACATGACTTTTTTTTGTCGCCTTGTGTAATTACCTGATTGTCTTCACTTCCACTGGCGATAAAGTCTTGATTGGCTCCACCAAAAGTTGAATGTATTGTAAAATGACCCTGAGTAACTCCTTGGTATCGTCTAACTAAGCATTTATCGTTTAAGTCCCATAGATGAACACCTTGTGTGGCAACATTTAAAAGCGCAAGTTTGTCATTTTTATCAACCGTAAATGACATTATAGCATGATCTTCTTGCAATCTAAACGAAACGAATTATGACAAATGGCAAACAACAATTATTAAAAATACATTTGATGATCTGAAAGTTCCTCGAAGATATAGCCCCTAATTCGGTGATGTGTGTCTGAAGCAATGACCGTTTTTCCGTCTTTTCGACACCACAAACCGTTCACTCGGACTCCCTCCCACGAATCTATGACAGTACCTTCCATATCACACTGATAAAAATGACCTCTAATCCCACCCACCTTTAATAGTGTTTATTTTAAAAGTGCAACAATCGATAGTGTTTACTTACCACAAACTTTGTACCATCTTTGTGCCATGCACAGCAGGCTAAAGCATCTTCCGGAGATTGCGAAACTTTGAGGAATTTTTCCGTTTCAATATTCCACAGCCACACCTCAGGACTCTCCTCGGGACCACATGCGATTAAATGAACCGAATCGGGACTCCACGAGATATACGAAGCTCCTAAATAAATATAAGACAATGTTGTGGTTCAGTACAGTATACAGGCTGTCCCAATGAGTTGAAAGAGTCCATTAGTGACCTTTAAATGGTAAAATTAAAATACAGAGTGTTCGTTTTTCGAGCTCCGGGATCGGTCGATTAAATTAGGCCAAAATTGTGCATTTTTATGCTGAACAATAATTTGAAAGAAAATTTAATGTGTCATTTTTAGTTTTTGAATTATTGGTAAAAAACGGAAATTTGTAACTTTTGTTTTTATTTTTTCAAGCGAAAACTAAAAGACCCATACGTTTTTAACTAGGATATTTTTAAGGCACTTTTTTACAAGGAGTCTAAATTTGTCATTGTATTTTCCAAGGCGCTCTTGATATCAAAGTTACAACACTCAACTTTGGATTTTCTTATGGACGGCATATTTGATTTCTGTATTTTTGAAAAGTATTTTTGTTCCTGATTACAACGATGTATCACACAATATAATCAAATTTTACATGCTGATCAAAATTTAAAAAAGCGTTTTTGCGAAGAGTGCTTTGGAAAAAAGACCAACAATTTTAATTAACAAACTAGATTTTGACGGTTCAGTTGACTTTGGATCTGGAAGTCACATTTCCGTCAAACTTACCTTCTTGAAAAATAATATTTTGAAAGAGGAACAACGTGATAAACTAGAATTTATTCTTCGCAAAACAACACAAAGTTATAAAAGATGCTCGAATACACCACCTTCAAAATTTAGTTTGTTAAAACTAGTCAATGTGGTCAAATCCTATTGGATTTGATTATGAGTTTCATTTTTATTTAGTAAAGTGTCTTTTAGATTGTAAAAAATAATGTTTGGGTCACTTCGAGTAGTTTCAGGTCGGTTCAGGTCACTTTAGGCCACTTCGGGTTCTTCGGATTACTTTGGCTTGGAGTAAAAAGAAAGTGTTAAATGTACTGACTTTTTGATTTTCAAAAGAAGAAAAATTCTTAGGGAATTTAGAAGTAAAAATGCCAATCGAGACGTTTAAAAACGTCGTGCTACAAAAGACAGTTGGGGAGAGTAAGAAAGTGTCGATGTACTGGATTAAAAAAATTCTAAACTTGCAAAAAACATTTAAAAATTTCTTAAAGAAATGCTTAAATTTAAAAAAATGCCAGAAATGACAAATCAAATATGGCGTCCCTAAGAAAATCCAAAGTTGAGTGTTGTAACTCAAGATTCAAGAGTGCCTTAGAAAATCGGATCACAGATTTGAATTCCTTGTAAAAAAGTGTCTTAAAAATGTCCTAGTTAAAAACGTCTAGGTCTTTTAGTTTTCGCTTGAAAAAATAAAAACGAAAATTACAAATTTCCATTTTTTTCCAAGTTCAATAATTTAAAAAATTTAAATGGAACACCCTATTTATTGTTTTTGCTTTTAAAAGATTATTAAATTGTCTTTCTAAAATTATTTACTTTTAGGTGTTTATAATCAATAACTAAAAAGATATTTAACGTTAAACATTAAAAATTATTTACTATTGTTTCAGTAGCTAAAAAGTGTACAGTTGCACAAGAGATGGAAGAAATATCACTTAATAATCACATTTGTGTTTAACTGAATCCATTATTCTTTATTTTTACAATAAAATAATTCGAATTTCAGCATTTATAACGACTTTTACAATTTCTGGATAAATCAACGAATAAGTGATCCGTGGTAAAATTACTATGGTTCCTCAGATATTAATAGGCATTGTTGCTACAATTAATATTTAATGTTAAATATCTTTGCATTTATCAATTCTAGACATTAAAAGTTATTTTTTTAGATAGATTATTTATCAATCTATTAGATGCAAAAATTAAAAATAGGATGTTCCATTTAATTTTTTTAAGTTATTTAACTTTTAACAAATACTTCATTAGGTAATCTTTACAAATGCAAAACACTAAAAAATTGCTACAGCTTTAAATTCTGTACTTTCTTCTTCGCAGAAGTAAGAAAAAATTTGTTCTAGCTGTCTCAGTTTTTGTGCAAAAATTTTTTAAAAAGTGCATGTTTTCGTCAAAAAAACGTCTTATTTCTAAAACTAAGCGAAATCGACTAATAAAAGTTTAGCGTAAAAACATTGTTTTGAAAAGCTACATCAAAAAAAAATGCAAAGAAACATACGGTGTTTCATTTAAAAAAACACAAGGGAAAATAATTTTAGGTGATGCACAAAAATAATTTATATCAATGTCCTATACATTTTTTTTTAATTTCACCATTTATGGGTCACTAATGGACTTTTTCAACTCGCTGGGACATCCTGTATGAAATTTTACCGTAATTGTGGCCTTCGAGAATTTTCTTAAGGGTGAGTGTGCAAGTCTCTGGATGGACGTCCCAAATAATCACATTCGTATCTTTGGATCCAGTCGCGAGTTTCGTGCCATCTGGCGAAAATTGACAAAACCATACCTCATCACAGTGATCGTTCAAGATCTAAAATAATAAATACAAAGTCGCTTTGCATTCAATTAACATCAAAACTTACTTGTATAGTATGAGTAGGAAACGTATCTCTGGCACAGCAGTGATCAACTAATAGAGAAGCGCTATCTAATGTGATCTGCTGTGCGGTATTATGATGGCTACAATGTAAAGTTTGTAATTCAAGTGCTTGATTGAGCAATGTATGTAGTCGGCTAGGCGGTAACATAACACTCGGGGGTAAGTAAGTTTGAAGTTTGTCCATCAAAATTGTTCGAGACTTTAAACCCTTTCCATCCCTAACATCAACAAACAATAAGTTAAATACCACAACTCAAACCAATTTTTTTACCAGTTAGTACGTTCGTGCAATTCTTGCGTATTTGAACACATCATGTAACTCGAGAGTTGATGCACTCGCGAAGTATTGTGCTGTAAAGGTGTTAATTCATTTCGCAACACATGTAATGCATCCAAAACTCGTCCATCTTCTAAATATTCCAAATATTTCTGTTCGAGTAATAAAAACTTCATTTCCTAAAAATATCGATGTGTATTTACTGGGATTTTGACGATTATTTATATTATACCAATAAGCTATTGGAAGATCCAATTAAATTCTGTAATTCTTGCAGATCATGATCTGCCTTTGTCCAATCACCGTCCATTACATGGTGGCGAAATTTGGCAGCTGCAGGGTGGTCCAAACGACATCCGGATTCGGCCATTAAAGAGTCTGCCGTTCTTCTGTAAAAAGATTCAGTTTGTTAATTAATTTAGTTACAACAGAGCTATTTCCTTATGAATCATAAAAATTACTAACTAAGCAAAATAACATATTCAGAAAGTATTAATTTTTAAATTGACTTTTCAATTGAACTTGAAAATACAAATAAATAAAGATATTACCACTTCTTAGTAACTAAGTAAATATTTTCAAATACAGGGTGTCCCAGCGTGTTGAAAAAGTCTATTAGTGACCTTTGAATGGTAAGATTAAAACAAAATTGTATAGGACATGGATTGCATCACCTAAAATTATTTTTAACCATACAGCATGTCCCAAAAATAAGTTACGATACAAACTTGTGTTTTTTTAAATGAAACACCGTATGTTTCTTGCATTTTTGGATGTAGCCTTTTAAAACAATGTTTTTACTCTAAACTTTTATTAGTCGATTTCGCTTAGTTTTAAAAATAAGACGTTTTTTTGACGAAAACATGCACTTTTTAAAAATGTATTACACAAAAACTAAGACGGCTAGAACAAATTTTTTCTTACTTCTAAGAAGAAGAAAGTACAGAATTTAAAGCTGTAGCAATTTTTTAGTGTTTTGCATTTGTAAAGATTAATAAATTAAGAAGTTTGTTAAAAAAACTTACAAAATTTAAATGCAACACCCTATTTTTTTATTTTTGTATCTAACAGTGTGATAAATTGTCTATCTAAAAAAATAAACTTTTAATGTCTAGAATTGATAAATAAAAATATATTTAACAGTCAAAATTAATTGTAGCAACAATGTCTATCAATATCTGAGCATTGTTGGCGCAAACAGGGTGCGCCAGAACTCGCGCCCCAGAGAAAAATGCCATATAAGGTAAAAAATGTTAAAAAAACTCTATCTATGAAAATTTCGAGGTTATGAGAGTTTAAATTTTTCACTTTGACTCAATTTATTTCTGTTGGAAAAATAATTTTCCAAGTTTTTTTGCTATAGGCTATTAAAAGAGGAAACAAGGAAGCTGTATCCTAAATTGTAACTCTGTATAATCTTATCTGTTGTTTTTATTGGCAAAATTTTTGTACTTTTATTAAAATAATCGTAAAAAACATATACAAGATCATCAGTATCATTAAATAGACATAAAAAAATGTCAAATGTCAAAAAATAAATGTCAAATTTTTTTAACAGATAGAATTTTTTAAACATTTTTTTCATGTTCCTAGTATGTTATGTTACTTGAAATTTTTCTCTGGGGCGCGAGTTCTGGCGCACCCTGTAGTAATTCCACCACGAATCACTTCTCCGTTAATTTATCCAGAGATTGTTGTTATAAATACTGAAATTTTATTGTAAAAATAAAGAATAATGGATTCAGTTTAACACAAATGTGATTATTAAGTAATATTTCTTCCATCTCTTGTGCAACTGTGCACTTTTTGGCTACTGAAATAATAGTAATTAATTTTTTTAATGTTTAACATTACTTATCTTTTTAGTTATTGATTATAAACACCTAAAAGTAAATAATTTTAGAAAGACAATTTAATAATCTTTTAAATGCAAAAACAATAAATAAATAAATAAGGTGTTTCATTTTATTTTTTTAAGTTATTGAACTTTTAACAAACGCCTTCATTTTTATCTTTGCAATCGCAACATACTAAAAAAATGTTACAACCTTATAGCTCGTACCTTCTTCTTTGCGGTAGTAAAAAAATATTTCTAGATGTCTTAGTTTTTGTCTAATAAATTTTAAAAAGTGCATGTTTTCGTCAAAAAAAACGTCTTATATTTAAAACTAAGCAAAATCGACCAATAAAAGTTTAGCTTGTTGTCATAAAAATCTACATCCAAAAACGCTAAGAAACATATAGTGTTTTATTTAAAAAAAATACAAGTTTGTATTGTAACTTATTTTTGAGACACGCTGTATAGTTGAAAATAATTTTAGGCGATGGACTAGATTAGTATCTATCAATGTCCTATATAATTCTTTTAAAAATTTTACTATTTAAAGGTCACCAATGGACTTTTCACTGAGACATCCTGTACAGTGGCGGATACGGAATTTTGGACATCTAAATTATGTCATTTCAAAAAATGTCAATGTAAGCCACGCATGTTTATTGTCATTATGATTGACCTTTGAAACTAAAATTTGTAAGTTTTAGTTGAAATTTATTTGTGAGTAATACGTGTTTTTATATAAGTTCAATAAATTATTTTGTCATTTTTTTCTCAAGGTAACAGGATAAAAATTACAAAAACCGAAAGTGAGGTTAGTTGCCTAAGGACTGTTTTACATTTTTATGTCAGTCGAATGACAAATCGTCCAAAATTCCGTGTCCCCTAGTGTATTAGAAACTGCTCAAAGTCAAAATTTTCTAAACTGATTTCTTTTTACGTTTAAACCTTAAATGTTTTAAAAAAAAATAATTCTACAGTATTTAGCTTGATTTGATACTATTGGGGACAAAAACTTTGGTCACAATTGTTCTGTCAGTTTAAAAAAAAATGTAAACCAAGTATTAAGGTCAAGTAAACATTGATAACAACTTCAAATTATTAACACTTCTGCAATGATGAATCTGAGAATGACAGTCAATGACAATGGGTGACAGTAGTAAAAAACTATCCCAATGCTTGCTTTACAACTTTATGGGCCAATATACAGAAAGCTAATTAAAATTTAATCTAGAATTAAACTAATTCTTTAAGTTGTCATTTACAAACGTCAAATTAATTACGAATTCAAACTTGCTTGAAATGTCCTGTAAACCGACTCAAATAACTTTGACAACCAAAGTAATTTGTCCGCAACTGTACTTCCACCTTGGTGGGGGTTGCAAATTATATTGAAATTGTAAAATGATCGTGTTTTTTTTCCTTAAATTAATGCTTTTAACCTGAGTATGACAGCGGACAAAATACTTTGGTCATCATTTTTATGTCGTGTAAACCACGCATTAACGTCAAGTCAACATTGATATTATTGACTCATCTCTTATCACAAATCTAAGCACCTTCCATCGTTCATTGCACTGTCTTATGGAAACCCTTCCAATTTTTCTTCCCTAGAATTTCTCATTCAGTGGTCAATTTTTCGGTATTTAACATTTTACAATGATAATAGTCAGTGACAACGGTTGACAGTAGTAAAAAAATAAGGTTAAGCATCCTAATGCTTGTCACTCAAGTGACATTAAGGATCCAAGTAATTTGTTCGCAACTGTACAGGAAACGAAATATTGAACAATATCATAGAAAAAATAAAACTGGCAAAAATCAACTGCGATTGTGTGTTTTAAGCAAAATTTATTGTAATTGTAACAAATTCTTTGTCGTGCAATTTTTTTCTTTAATTCCAATGGGGTGATCTCTCGTCTCTTGTACATATCAGCATAAGTAAACATAGGAGGGCAACGAAATGAGAATAAATAAATAAATATTATACGATTTTGTGTATTTTCACGTTAAAAATAAGAATGAGTCGACATAATTCGGTTTTCTGCTTACTAAAAATAAATACGTGGTGAGGCAAGAATCACGATATTTTGGTAATCATAATGACATTCGCACAATGTTGTTAAAAACATTGAGATAAGGTCCTGTGGGGAAATTTTGTTATAACTTACGTTAGACCTTCATTTTTGAGGTATTGCCCGATGAGCCTCACAATGTCCTGATTAGTCTGTGTCAATTGCACGGCAGGGCCATTGGAGCTGTCCTCGTGTCCATTTTCCGAAGCCCCATTGCTGGACGAGGGGGCCCCGTTTTGCACACATCCGTTGCTGGCCATAATGGTGGTGTCAATCGCAATACTATTGTCTCTTCGGGTTTTTTTACGAGGCGGCTGTCCACCGTCGTCCCCGGATGAATCACTATTAGAGGCCAGACTTATTTTTGCACTTTTCCTCCTCACTTTCCACGATCACGTTTACTTCAGACACGATTAACATTAATTAAAGCAGGCTCTTTGTTTTCAGAGATCCATTTATTACGTCACAGTAATAATCACGCAGATTTCGATTCTTGACCACTGAAATTTTAGTTTCACTCACTTTTCATTCTAATGGGTTTTTAGTGGAAAATCACATGAATTAAGAGAGGAAATTGACAATCCTATAAACTGCACCACCCCACAACAAACATCAGCTGAATTACAGCTGAACCAACGCTCACCAACTGTTTGTTCAATGGACAAATGTCTCAAATTACAACAACCCAGAAAACAGCTGGTGGCTTGACCTCAACATCCATATAATAAACGCTAAGAGTTGATATTCCACTAACAACAACAAACGGGCTGAACAGCTGAAATGTCAGCCGACACACACTCAACTGAGGTGTTCTTTATTTACCGTTCTGCCACTATACACACATTATATAGCTATCCTGTTTCCACATCACCACTAAACGTGACAGTTTTTCTATGTGAAGAAGAAGTAACTGAAAATCCGTCAACTAGAAAGAGACTACACCAACTTACCGTTACCAACCTTAAAACTCCGTTTATAGGCAACAAAATAACCAACTACAACTCCGAATTGCTGGTTGTATAACCATCTTTATTTTAAAAACTGACATCCTACTAATGAACTGCGTTTGAGCTAAAAATTTTGTTGTCAACATAGGTAGACAACACATTAAACTCAATGGTGGCAACTAATGGGTTTAATGAGAGAAAAATGGGTTTTTTTGGTTTGCTAATCTCTATGTGTAATGTTGGGAATTTATTTAATGATGTTAAAAACAACAAATATTCAAACTAAGTACATTTTTACCTACAAATTCAAAGTCAGGACCACATCGAACTTTTTTTCGCGATACGATCCAGAGGAGGATTTAGTAATAATCCTACCACTGCCTAATTTGAATGGGCTTACAAAAAGCTTTTGTTGCTCGCAGTTTATTATATCATTATCAAACGGTATTCTTTTTTATATAATGAATTAATTATAATACTACCTTACAATCACAGTGATTCATGATTGTACTTGATGTAAACAAATTGAAATATTGTAGATATTCTATTAAAACTAATTTTCCCATTGTATTTCATACAAGTTCCAATGCATTCTGCCACTATTGCGAATTGGTGGTTGCATAACCATGTTGACAACAGCTTTTATACGCGTCAGTATTGGCAAAGCGTAGTCCATAGTAAGATGTCAATGTTTAAAAATAACAATTATACAAGGTGATTCAGGAATGACCAAATTCTCGATGCAACCACCATTACTTTTCGCAAGTTGCTTTGCGACAAATGTAATGTTGGTTGGTTGTATACTCTTTTTCATATTAATGTGCATCAAGTAGGTTGTAGAAGTCTAAATGCATCTTTAATTTAAAGACCAATTCACACAAAAAGTATCATTAATGTCATTCAGAACAAATTTAATCACATCAATAATGACAATTTTTTTTTGTTTGCCTCCCTATGTTTAATTACGTTGTTAATTTTAATTATTTTTTGCTATAAAAACTGGGGTACACATATTTATTTGAAAAAATAATTTTTGGGGAAGATTGAGGTTGGGATTGTTTGAAATTTCGCATCATTGCCACTTTAAAATGATCCCTTTCAACGACTACTTCGATGCATATTAATATAAAAACGATTATACTTACAAACACCTTTTTTCTAAAATCTCAAAATGCAATTCACTTTAAATAATTCAAATCTAATTCATTAATTCAATAACTCTTTTCAATTGATTAATTAAAAAAGAACAATTTTAGAATTTAAATGGTAACAAAATATACTTTTGGTTTCAAAAAATATAGTGTCCCCATCTAGGTGAAACGACTTTTTTTAAAAAATTCTCGATTTAAATTTTCATTTTTTGAGGTTCAGCTCTGTTTGGTGAAAGATTAATTTGTAACATAATTTTATTTAAAAAAATGTATGAATTAGAAATTAAAAAAAACGATTTTTTGTGAAGTAGAGTGCTTTTTAAGTGGCAAATACGACAAAAAGTTAAGAAAAGTTGTTTAGAATCAACATGTAGGCTCATATGCCAAATTTCAAAATCATCGGCCAACTAGATTTTTAATTTTTTATGTTTATTATTTCACAAATCAAAGAATTTTATTTTTAGCAATTCTTTTAATATGAGTAAAAAAATTCACAAAATTTACAAAAAAAATTAAAAACCGTATTTTTTTACAAGAGTCGTTTCACTTATTCGAGGACACACTGTATTCAAAAGAACTAGATTATCATTCGGGTGGTGTTTTGAATCATTTATAGTTACGTCCAAGAATGCAAACAATTTTTTTGCATCTGAAAGAAATCTTATTTCGATACCAAAACCAACTTTATAATGAGCTATTTCAACATCGATTCGGGTGCTGAAATTGACTAGTACAATTTACTTTCTAGAGGTTGGTAATGGTGATTTTCCGCAGCGTTTTGTGCGATTTCTCTTTTTTCAAGCGGCGCGCCGCATGAAATATTTGCAGTATTCATTCAACAAAATTTTGATAAATACTTAAGACTTGACACTTCGAAAGTTGAACTTTCAAATTTTGTAACATTTATCACCAACCACAAACCACAACCTTATTAGAGCAAAAGTTCCTAAATTTTGAAAAATTGAGTTTTATGTTAAAAAAGTAAGTACAATTGCGGAATTAAAATTTCGGACAGTAGTGTCATTTTCATGTAAACTTTAAAACAACCTTTACATTATTTTTTCATATATTTACTTTCAAAAATAATGATTTGTGGCATAATAAAGAATAGGCAGCAGACCAAAGCGATACTTAGTTTAATTAACAAATTTGCTAAGACAGACAATTTGTTTAATTAACTATTTTAACAACAAAAAAAATAAGTTTAATAGTCAAATGTCAGTCATGATGACATAAAAGATAGTTTACAGAAAACTTTTTAAAGATACAAAAAAATACTGCCCGAAATTTTAATTCCGCAACTGTACTTGATAAAAAAAAATTAAACACTAAGTTAGTGATATATTATAAATTACTTGAGATTCATTCATTTCATCTATTTTTGTGTGGAAATTATCCCTTAGCCACAAAACCATTTGAATTAGATTTGCAAAGTAAATATGCAAAATGCACTTTAAAATAAAATTCAAGATTAGTATCCCTTAGTACAAAATTTTATTTTGTGTGAAATGTATACATACAAAGTGAATTAATTAACACAGATATCTTGGTACCTATCAAGAGCTGGCACAATTTCTCGTACTCTTTTTATGTGTGAAAAAATAACACAAAACATAATTTAAGTGGTCAAACACTATTTTTGCCATCGACCACAAAAATGTGCTCTTGATTTTGTTATTACCAATTATTTTTAAAAATTGAGTGAAAATAAAGTTTTGAAAGCCTGACAAAAAAATTGCTATTGTCATGGATATCAATTTCGAGTTGAAATAATAATTATATGGTCGCATTTCCACTCGAATTCGAGTCCTAACACATTTTTAGAAAAATATATTCAGTTAGTACTTTGCAAGTATCGTTTTTTTTTGTTAGAAAGTTAACCAAGTAATGGGATGAAATAACTGAGCACAGCCAAAAAAGCAAATATTCTGAAACGGTTAGGTAACATCTATTGGTGAAATGAGGAACCGTAACAGTAGACTTGCTTCAAACATAACTATAGGGTGCGCCAGAACTCGCTCCCAGAGAAAAAAAAAAGGTGAGATACCAGGAACATGGAAAAAATGTTATCTATAAAAATTTCGAAGTTATGAGGGTTTAAAGTTTGCACTTTGACTCTATTTATTTCTGTTGGGAAAATAATTTTACAAGTTTTTTTTGCTATAGGCTATTAAAAGAGAAAACAAGGAAGCTGTGTCCTAAATTGTAACTCTGTTCAATGTTATTTGTGGCAAGATCATCAGCATCATTAAATAGACATAAAAAATGTCATATGTCAAAATTTTTTGACAGATAGAATTTTTTAAACATTTTTTCATGTTCCCGGTATTTTACCTTACTTGAAAATTGTCTCTGGAGCGCGAGTTCTGGCGCATTCTGTATAATTTTTAATGCAAAAGCAAGATAGAATTGGTAGAACCTTCTCTTTTCCAGTTAAAGTGTCGATGTTTTAATAATGAGTATGAATGAGCAACAATGTTAACAAATTTGTGCATTGTCCCTTCTTACTACATTTCCGTAAAGCATTATTGTCAATAAAAACTCGATTTGGGTTAGCTCTACTTAAGCATTGCTGCCCACTCTAGGTGTAACTCTATAAAAAATACGGCTCTGCAACAACTCTAGCTTAGTACCTTATGATTTTTGTAACAGAAATTGTGAGTAGATAACTAATCAAAGTGTTTTAATTATAAATAATAGATAATATTTAATACCATCACGTAAAAAGTACCTATATATAAATACATCACAATACAAAATTCACTAGACTATGACATAGGTAATTAAAAATGTCGCAATTTACAGTTTCCTTTTTTAACGGACTTGAAGTAGTTTAATTCGCAAGACAAAATATGCGCATATCCTAAGTACAACAAAAAGTCCGCAGAGGACTGCAACATCGATAGTGTATGTGAGCATGTCGCTTTTCATTGCCATTTGGTCCAAGAACTTTGTCGGGTACTTGAAATGGCAGTAGTCATCTTGACAATCCAGTTTTGGCCTATCCAAGCCATATATCGATATCATTGTAGCCTCAAAACTATACCTGACATAACTCATATACGGCAACCACTTTAAGTAGACTGGAATATCTTTGAGATTTGCAAAGAACCCCGAAAATAGCACTAATGGAATCGTTGATATTGGTCCTAGAAACACCCCACCCTAAAAATGAGAATCAAAAATCCACTTCTTCGTAAACCCAAGGTTCAAACCTCAATATTAAAGGCTGCACCAACCAATAACCCAAAACTTTGGGATACCAGTGCCGTCAGTACTGAAATTAGCAGAACCATAGCGAACCTTTTGGCTTCTAGAGGCTGCGAAGTTAAATAGTATACTCCCATGACGTAGCAAGCAGTTAAAACGATCTAAAAATTATTTCAAATAAAGTTGACAATTTAACAAAATACAAACCTGAAATGGTATATCGGCTAGAGTCTTGGCAAAATAGTACGCTTTTAGTGAATACCAATAGTTTAAGTGTTCTCTTACGAAAACAGACATTTCCAGAGGAACTAAAAAATAGAATTGTAGTGACTCAAAACTACGGAGAACTACATACTAGGAGACGACACGAGATTCAAATTTGCTCAATTTTTTGGACCCAAAATATAGTACGGCTGATAGCGTTTTACCGTCTCAGTTTCAAATCGTTTTAAATTAATTTCAATTGCTTGGAAAAAATGCAAAACTGTCGAGCTTTACATTCTTAATAAGCTGTGAAAAACGAAAGACTAAATTTCTCACGAGAACTATGAGAAAAAAATATTTAAAATTTAAAATTTGTGCTCCGTTTTATGTTTTTCAAAATGCTGTGAATACGGTTGAAGATATAAGAAAAATGTAAGAAAGAAAGTTGTAGAGAATAAAATTTTCTAGTAAAAACTCCCCAAGACAATACCTCTATCTTAGTGATTTAGTGCCAGAGCAATTTAAACCTAAACCGTTGAAGGTAGAAATATGGTCTCGCGGACTTTTTTGTAGCAAATTTTATTCTGTACAATTTTGTTTCTCACACATTTTTTGTATCTTTAACCATATTCGCACCGTTTCAAAAATATTGGGCGGAACGCAATTATAATTTATTTTTAATACTGTTTTCGATATTTTTGAGAACGCTGCAAATGCGGTTGAAGATACAAAAAAAGTGTAGGAAACAAAGTTGTAGAGAATTAAAGTTCCCACAAAAAAGTCCGGGAGACTATATTTCTATCTTCAACCGTTTAGGTTTAAATTAATTTTTTGTTTCTTGACCACTGGTAAAAATGACACTTGAGCGTCTTTGAAAGTCTTTAGGACCTAAACTATTGAAGATAGAGGTATCTCTCATAAACTTTTTTCTTGAAAATTTTATTCTCTACAACTTTTTCCTTTATATTTTTCTTATACCTTTAACCGTATTCGCAGCATTTTCAAAAATATGAGACAAATTATTTTTTTTAAATACAGGCTTTTCGGGCTAAACCCCACATTAGAAATATTGGGAGTTCTAACAATGATATTTATCTAAAATTATGTTTGTAGCCATAATCGGTTAGGTTTTGCACAATAAAAATATTTTCAAGATGGCGGCACACCGGAAGTGGATATCAACTTCGTTATTTTAACCCTGTAAGCGGCAGGACCAGTTTAAATAAAAAGACAACTATGAAAGCTTGTAAGAATTATTCAAGTAACATTAGAATCGCATTTTAGGTGTTAGTAATTGATATTTGTTATTAGAAAACGTACTTTGATACTTTGGTCACTTTGCCTATTTAAGAAATTTAAGATTTATTCAAAAAAAAATACAAAATATATTATTGGTGGTTGGAATTCTTCGTTATTGGTTATGTCATTCTTTGTCCAATTAAAATTAAAAATGAATTTTTGTTTTGCTGTTGGCTGTTGCACGTATTTTGAGTTTTCCTTTTTACGTGGGTGGTGGTATAAGAGAAGATTCTTCGTCCTCCGATGAGGATTCTGTTTCATCTGCTACACAACTCTTTTTTGAATCAATTTCTGAAACCAAAGCTCTAGCAAAAATAAAATTTTGGTCGCTTCCGTCTGTTTCACTTTCGGAATAATCAGATAAGTCTGAATCAGATAATTTTTCAGGAAGTAGACGAAATTTATCCCGCTTTTCAGGCATGTTTGGTTTTTTTTTTTCTATAAAAACACCCTGTCTTGATGAAAAAAAAGTTCATAATCTGTTTAAAAATTAAGTACTTTAGAGGCATTGCAACCTATAGGTTGTTAAAGAAATAAGAAAAAAAAAATAGAATATCAAAGTTATTCAAATTTATTTTGTATTTACGCAAAGAATAACACAATTGTAAAAAAAACTTTTTTTTAATGAGATATATTTCCATGGCAAACTATGCGAAAACTACCATAGGTAGTAATGAATTTGTTTTATTGTAAAAAAAATAAAAATAACTTGGAAATCATTAAATTTAGGTATAGGGAATGTTAACACAGATATATGCAGAATTAAATTCTCTTTCATTTAGTGAAGAAAAAATTAAGGCCATTTCAAAAAATTACGGGTATTTGAAGTTTCCCAAACGTAACCTTAAATTTTGGAGGTCTGTTAATTATTTTTCCAATTATAAATACGCGAAAGAAAAGATCTAACCTTTTTTTCATATGCCCAACCACGATTTCAAAATAATTAAAAATAGTAGAGTTATCGATTTTTGGAGAGGAAGAGGCAAATTAAAATAAATTCAAAAAACAGTTAAATTTAGATATAGGGAAGTCTGATAAACTTAAACTTTCTATTTAAAATAACAAAGTTGATACCCAGTGTAACCGGAAGTGCTGCCATCTTGAAAATATTTTCATTGAGCAGGATCTAAACGATTATTTTATTAAATTTTAGATAAATATCACTGTTAGAACTCCCAATACTTCTAATGAATAAAATTTTTGCATTACCTTTATCTCTTATTATTGAGAATTTAATAGTAAATACAGCCATTTTTTTATTTCATTGCTCTTAAAACTTGTATATCGTGTCGTATCCTAGTCTAACTCCCGTGTTACATACATGTCAAAATTGTGGGCATCATGGCGGTGAACATTGTGAACATTGTTGTGAAAAATAAGCACCCAGCATTGCTTGTAACTTTAGCAGCATTATTGCCAATGTCATAGTAGATCAAGCCAAGCAATATTCCTATGATAATATGAGCCACAAGCCTCATTCTGGTGAGTGTTTTGTCCCTGAGTGTTATAGCAATCGTCCTCTTCAATAAAATCCAAAACTGGACTAATCCAGATGTTGGAAAGCCACTTTTTTCAATTTTGGGCAAATTTTCTGACGAATCCAGTAATGATGTCGTACACGTTGCCGGCGTCGAAGTGGAAGTTTTAGAGAAGCCGTTTGGCACTGGGAGGGACTCACACTGCGGTTTTAGTGGTATTGTCTCTTTAGCAATATCGTTTGATATCAGTTTGCCACGCTGATCCGATTTTTGCAAGTAGTTATTGCATCTTCCTGCGTTTACTGCGACCACTAATTTCTGCACGTAGTCGCCATGCTCACCACAAGCCACTTCCATTACTAGAAACAAACATGTCAATTTTTTTCTTTAAAATAAATACACATTCCAAAAATAAATAAATGTCAGAACTTGCGTCCCAGAGAAAAATTTCGAGTAAGATAAGATACCAGCAGTGTTGCAAATTCGCCAAATTTTCACCAGATTACGATTTGTATGGATATATCTCGCGAAAAAACGCTAAAAATCCGATTAAACTGTTGAAAAAAGCAAAAACGAAATGTATTTCGGGTTAATTTTGTGATTTTTCAACAAAATTTTGCGAAATAATTGCGTTTCTAGCTGAAAAACGTGTTGAAATGCTCGAGAAATGTAATTCTAGACTTAATTTCGTGATTTTTTAATTTGTCTTAGCGAAAGGTACAAAAATGTCCTTAAAAGCATTTTCGGCCAAATTTTGTGGTTTCTCAGCTTATTTTTGTCTTAATTTTGCTCTCAAAACCCAGTTAAATTGAGCGAAACAAACAAAAAACATCAATATCAATCCTTTTTGTGATTTTAGGCATGTTTGGAGAAGATTTTGCAAACTAAACAAGCTAAAAAATGATATCAATTTCGATTTAATTTTGTAATTTTTTAACCTGTTTCAACGCAATCAACTTTTTTTGTTTTTATCTCTCAAAAACTCCGTTTTTGGCTATTGTGTTGAATTTGTGGCTTGTTTTTAACAAAATTTTGTAATAAAAATGTGTTTCAAGCGGAAAAAGTATTCGAAAAAGATTTAAATAAGTTTCATTGTCGACTTTTTTAGTAATATCTCGTAGAACAATTTTTTACCAATTTGGTGTTTTCCGATTATTTTGTCTTCGAGAAAATTTGAGGAAATGATCAAGTTAAAGCCTAAGCCTAAAAATATCATAATTTATTTTTTTTATAACAATTTAGTGATTTTTACATGTTCTATGGCAAGCTTTGCCAAAAAAAACAGAGTTTTCAGCTTAAAAATCTGCTTGAACTTTCGAAAAAGGAAAAAATTATATCATTTTCGGCCTAATTCTGTGATTTTTTTTGGCTTGTTTTTAACCAATTTTGCAAAATAATTGCTTTTCTAGCTGAAAACCGTGCTAAAACACTCAAGAAATGCAAAATTAATGTTCTTTTTAGCGAAATTTTGCAAAAAACCTGAGATTGTAGTACAAAAACGTGCCTAAAAACATTCTCGGGTTATTTTGTCTTATTTTAAAAAAGTTAAATCGAGTGAAACAAACAAAAATATAAGATCAATATCAATTGTTTTTGTAATTTTTAAGCGTATTTGAACAAAATTTTTCAAAATAAATGAAAAATGATATGAATTTCGATTTAATTTTGTAGCCTGCTACAACGAAATTTTTACAACTTTCGTTCTTTTTATCTCAAAAAAGAGCTTAAACACTTGAAAAGGGCAAAAAGAACGCCGTTTTTGGTCGAATTTCTTGAATTTTTGATTGTTTTTAGCGAAATAATTGCTTTTCTAGCTGAAAACCGTGCTAAAACTCTCAAGAAATGCAAAATTAATGTCCAAAAAACCTGAGATTGTAGTACAAAAACGTGCCTAAAAACATTCTCGGCTTATTTTGTCTTATTTTGCTCAAAAACCAGTTAAATCGAGTGAAACAAACAAGAAGAAACATCAATATGTTTTTGTGATTTTTAAGCGTGTTTGAACAAAAATTTTCAAAGTAAATGAAAAGTGATATCAATTTCGATTTAATTTTGAAATATTTACAATTTTCTTTGTTTTTATCTCAAAAAAGAGCTTGGACTTGGAAAGGCCAAAAATAACACCGTTTTTGGTCGAATTTGTTGAATTTTTAGATTGTTTTTTTTTTGCGAAATTTTGCGAAATAATTGTGTTTCTAGATGAAAAAGTATTCGAAAAGGACAAAAATAAATTCTCATTTTCGATCCTGTTTAGTAAAATCTTGTAGAAAACAAACACAACTATTTTTAACCAATTTTTGACTTTTTCGATAAAAGTTTCTGGTTGAAAACGTGGAAAATGCTCGAAAAACAGTTTTTTTTTCATTTCCAAAAATCACCAGATATTAGAATTTTCACAAAAGTTTTCACCAAATCACCAAACTAACATGAAAATCACCAGTTCTGGTGAAATTTCACCACACCTAGCAACATTGGATATCAGGAACATGGAAAAAATGTTTAAAAAATTCTATCTGGCAAAAAATTTTGACATTTTTTATGTCAACTTAATGATTGATGATCTTGTATGTTTTTTATAATTATTTAGTAAAGGTACAAAAATTTTGTCAGTAAGTTACAATTTAGGATACAGCTTCCTTGTTTCCTCTTATTCTAATAGCCTGTAGCAAAAAATAAACTCTCATAACCTCGAAATTTTTATAGACAGAATTTTTTAAATTTTTCTCTGGGACGGAGTTCTGGCGCAGCTTGTATAGCAGAAGAATGTTTACCATAATCAGCAGGATTGTGATAACTGGGGCAATTAAGCCCCATGCTTGAAAGGAAAGGAACTAATCCCGAGACGTTGCCCCGGTAGATGCATTGTCCTTCCGCTAGCATGTATAAATGGTCGAACATTTCGAATAATCTAGCCGAAGGTTGATGTATGGTACATATCACAGTTCTTCCACCTCTTGCTAAAGATTTCAACAAACATAAACATTGGAAACAAGACGAACTGTCTAAACCGCTCGTTGGTTCATCGAAAAACATTACTGGTGGATTATTTACAAGTTCTAAGGCAATAGAGAGTCGTTTCCTTTGTCCACCAGATAAACTAGCGGCGTAGGTATCTGTACAGTCCTGTAATCCCAATGTTTCCATAATCTCACTGATTACAACTTTTTTTTCGGAATTGGTTATTCCTTTGCCTAGTTTGAGATTCGCTGATACTGTCATTGCTTCTTTTACTGTTAAATGCGGAGATAAACAGTCATCTTGCATTATGTAACAAGACATTTTTCGAAATCGTCGCAGACTTCGATCTTTACCATTAATTAGAACAGAACCATCCAAATTGGACGTCCTGAAAACATACAACTATTGTCAAAGATCTAGATAGATTCGGCTTTTGTTAGAATTTTAATCATTTGATTTAAACAAATTTATTAATTTAAAAGAGACCAAAGTTCAGTCGTTGTTCACAACAGACAAGTCAACTCTGATGACCGGCGACGTTCATAGACCCCATTGATGCTACTTAATTAATACAGAAAATAACAGAAAAGTATTTGTTGTTGGTCGCCTCGCTGATTTATGTGTAAAAAATACTAACAAAATGTGATATCAGACAATTAATTAGCGGGTCTTATCTGTTAAATTAACGTATTCTAAATCACTGTATATTTCAATAGTGATGAAAAAAAAACAGACTAATTTTTGAGACTTTAGGTTTCCAAACTACACTACTAAGGAACAAAAATTTTTTCTAAATTTTTTGGTAATTTTTCAAAGGCCGTAATTCATCTAAAAATTGTATCTAGATTAAAAAAAAAACTATTTGGAAGCTTTAAGTTTCTAGTTTTGAGATCTTTTGCTAATTTTTTTCCTATGCTATGGTTGCGACGCACTCCTAAGAAATTTCGTGAGAAAAAAATCTAAATTTTTAATACGCTTTTTTTCATATTTTCTCTACGTCAATTAAAAAGAATCCTTTTGTCTTTGATCATCGGTATCTCAACAACCAACGACCACAGAGAGAATATAAAAATAGTGTTAAAAACTTGGATAAATGTCTTACAAGATCCTTTAATAATTTTTTGAAAAATATATTTTTTTTAAACTCAACATTGATTTAATGGAAAATGAAAAAAGTAACTTTTTGCGTTGTTTCAGTAAATCTACCGCGTATTCACTAATATTAATGGAGAGGCTAATGTTTTTAGGTTTTTTTCAGCTCATTGTAATTTTTAAATCCATCGTTTTCTCGGACCGAATGATCAAAATTTTGCAAAAGAATTAAAGAAACAATTGCACATATTGTTTCTGAATATTGTTTAATCTTCATCAAAATGAAAAAAAACGATTTTTTTTCTACTATTTTTACAATGTTGTATTAGTTCTTTCTTAAAAATAAAAAAAAAATAAACAATTGTTTTTTGAAAATTTGTAAAAACATTCAAGAAAGAATACTGCTTATTTTTTGAAAAAAAAAACTCAAAAAGAATGTTTTAGATTTTTAATTTATTAGATTTGTAAAAAAATTCAAGAAACAATACTGATTAATTTTTGAAAAAAAATCAAAAATATTTTTTTGAATTTGTTTTGAACTCTTTTTTAAATGTAAATAATGCAGAATTGTAAAAAAAACTGAAAAAATTGTTTTTCTTATTTTGACAGAGTAGACAATATTCAGAAACAATATCTGCAATTGTTCCTTTAATTCTTTTGTAAAACTTTGATAAAATGGTCCGAGAAAAGGGTGTAATGGATCGATTTAAAAATTTACAGGCTTATGAGAAGTACATTAAGCTGAAAAACCACCTAAAAACATTAGTCTCCCCATCAATATTAGTGAATACGCAGTAGATTTTCTAAAACAACGCAAAAAGTTACTTTTTCTCTTTTCTTCAAATCCATGTTGAGGATGAAAAACAAATATTTTCCAAAAAATCATAAAAAGATCTAATAGGACATTTTTTAGATTTTTTTCTCACGATATTACTAGGATTGCGTGGTAATCGTACCACGAAAAAAAATTTTAGCAAAAGATCTCAAAACAAGAAACTTAAGGCTTCAAAACAGTTTTGTTTTTAATTAAAAAAAAAAAGTACGACCATTTTTAGACGAATTACAGCCTTTTAAAAAACACCAAAAAATTTAAAGTTCCTACAATCATACATCTACTCCGGTACCACTTCAAAAGGTATGTTCTTGCAAGTAACTGTTCCAAATTTTATAACATTTGGTCAAATGGTTCCAAAATTATTACAAAAAAAAAACAAATTTCCATACCCACATTCCGAGGACAGTAAAATTCTTATCAGTAGAGACAGGACACGATTTATTTAAATCAACAATATTTTATAGGTCATTTTTGAGGTTTAAACATAGCTTCATTTTTATAAATTACTCTATATAAATAAGAAATTAAGAAAGTGTTTATTATTTTAACAGAACAACGATAAAATGCCGTGTGTGAGTCCTTTTACGATTTTTTTTTAAGTTTGTTTATATTTTGGTCCAAATTAACCATTCGTTGCCTTTATTGTTGTGCTCGCGGTTTTAAACCATAACTGTGGTCCCAAAACTGTTAAAACTTTGATTCTTGTAAAATTTCACCGACAATAATCATGTTATTTTTATTTTTCAACCTTTGACTAGTCACACCTGTTCAAGGTTGCAAAAAGATAATTTTCTAATTAGAATTTTAATTCTTACTTGTATCCGGCCAGAATATTCATCAAAGTGCTTTTTCCCGCCCCAGAAGGCCCCATAATTCCAGTAAGTTCCCCAGATCTAAATTTTCCATTCACGCATTTCAGTATTGTCTTGTAACCTCGCTTCCGACCTTCCGAGACCGAATACGATAAATCTATAAACTCTATGTCGACAGGTGGTCTCTTTGGCAAGTGTGTTAGAGATATCATAGGTTTTTTATGACCAGTCGGGCTATTGTTTGGAACTTTTCTTAGTGCTCCAGAACTAGTTATTGTCACAGACGAAGAGCCGTTACATAGATTATTCTGCGATCCACTGAAAATTAAATTTTTTTTAGTTTTGTCAAAACTACTGAAATTAGTTTTTACCTTAAAACAGTTGCATTGTTGAGGGATTCGAGTTCTTTAGGCGGCGGCGAACAAACGGCTCTAGCATTATAGGACACGGATTCGTTCCCATCTTCAGTTTCCGTAGACAAATTTATTTTTACACTTTTTGGGTCTGCCATTTTTTGTCAAAAATGCATTGGTCTGCTTAACCAGAAATGCTTTTTTCTGCCTAAAAAAACAGCAACAAATACTAAATGTTTTTAAGTTGATACGAACAAAAATGTGTTTAAAGAGTGGAGATAAGTTGTAACAAATTTGATTTGTTTGTTTTTCTAGACACAACATTTATGGAGTTTTTACCGTAAAAATGTAAATAAAAAGGCAACAAAATATCGATTATTATTGTTAGTGTTCAACAAACGAATTATGTTCACATTCACACCTGTTTTAAAACCAAACAATAATAATAAACTTAATTTTAGTGATGAAAAAATAATAATAAAGTGTGTGAATTTTATTTAAGATAATGCAAATTTCATTGACATTTAGATATAGTTCAAGTGGAAGCAATCAGTTTAAATAAGTTACATCATCGAGTTCTGTGAACCAGACAAATGTTCGGGATACCTATTCAACCCAGGTGTGAGATAAATATTGTCAATGACTGATAACACAAGCAAATCTATTGTTCGCTAAATTGCAAGTAGCTACGGTCAGGTTATTTTATTGTATTTAAAAACGGAAATTAAAGTCTGACCCAATTAATCTTTGAGTTTAGCATCAAAGTGTTCTAGGTATTTTGCTTCGAATTGAAGAATAAGTTTTTTTATTAAACAGATATAACTATCAAGTGAACTGCTAAGATATTCTTTTGTTCAAAGTAAATCGTTTGTTTAATGAGAAAAATTCTACGTATTTATTCGTATCACAGTTACTTTTTCAGATTGAGTAATAGTATATATTGAGTTTGATGTATATATTTTTTATTTTGCATAAACACTTATTTTTATATCTTCTTAATATCTTAATCTGAATACTTTTTCTCTAACAAGTACTTATACATACAGGGTGTTTCACATAATTTTACGAGGCCTGCGCCTGTAAGATGCAATCAATAATACGATACGAACTCGATTACAAATTTTGAAAAATTGGATAATCTTCTCTAGTTTGTTCACCCTTTCAAAAATTACAACGTTTCTAGTTAGTTAGTTATTAAGACAGATAAACTAGAATCATATTCATGCCGTCTCTTGATAGAACAAATAATAATTGTTTCTTAAAAACTGCAGTTTATTAGTTTGATAACTACTGTCATGGGTTTCCAAAAATTAAATATATTTATTTATTATTATATCCAGTTTTCTGTGACTTTTGTATATTTGGGTGCGTACATTATGCGCAAGCTTCGTAATGTTATGTGAAACACTCTGTATATTTAAACATTTAAGTAAATAATAATAAAAAATATTCTTTGCAGTTCACAATAACAGGTAGTGCCCTTGAATATATTTAATACAATCAAATAATATTATGTATCTCCATAATAGTTAATAACTTAATAAGGATGTCATGAATACTACTATGTACTAAATTGTCCTACAAAAATACGACCAAAGTATCTACTAATATTATAATTTGATGGCAAAAAAGCTCTACTTTAAAGACGAATTATTGATTTACCCGTACGAAGTAGATACATATTATACAGGGTGCGCCAGAACTCGCGCCCCAGAGATAAAGGCCATGTAAGGTAGGATACGAGGAACATGGAAAAAATGTAAAAAAAATTATATCTATAAAAAATTCGAAATTATGAGAGTTTAAATTTTGCACTTTGACTATTTATTTCTGTTGGAAAAATAATTTTCCAAGTTTTTTTGTTACAGGCTATTAGAAAAGGAAACAAGGAAGTTGCATCCTAAATTGTAACTCTGTTCAATGTTATTTGTGACTTTTATTGGTAAAATTTTTGTACCTTTACTAAAAAATTATAAAAAAAACATATACAAGATCATTACTATCATTAAATAGACATAAAAAATGTCAAATGTCAATTTTTTTTTGACAGATACAATTTTTAAATATTTTTTTCATGTTCCTGATATCTTATCTGAAATTTTTCTCTGGGGCGCGAGTTCTGATACCCTGTTTACCACGAAGTATAATACCTATTATTTTTCGTCTACCAATATAATCTAAAAAACTTATTCAAGTTACACTTTGCCTCTTAGACCTTGAAAAAACCCTCATATACACGTAAATAAACATTTAAAAATCGATAACAATAAATTATTAAATATTTTTAAAATACCTAATGTTGACTTATTTATTTTATTTTTTAGAGTTAAATAGATAACCAACAGTTTGCTAAATATTTTAAACTGTTTATAGCCTGTAAACTTCATTCGAATTCATTCATTAGGTGAGTACTATTGGGGAAAAATACTTTGGTCGTCAATGTCACTTGTGTGACATAAAATTATCAGGAAAATAATGACCAAAGTATTTTGTCTGCAACAGTAAAAGTACTTAGACTAAATATTTACTTTGAAATTATGAGAACTAATATTGGTTGTACGAACATAAAATTAAAGTAAGTACATTTTAATGAATTGCATTTTTGGCCACTATTTAAATTACGACCCATATTTGCAGCATTTAAAAATGTGTCAAGTGGCGGACGCTTATCAATAAAGGTAAAACCAAAACAACGAATTTTATTTTCATTGAATAAATGTTAGATATTGCATCAAATAATGAAAAATTTTATTCAAAACTATTTAAAACTGAATCGTAGAAAACTTTACAAAATACAAAATTAGTTTGATATAGACAAGGACAACAGCGAATAATTCCAGTGATTACACTTACACATAAAAAATTTCTACTTATCAAAAAAAATGCTCAAAGGTCAAACTGCAGCAACGATGTATACTTCTTTACATAACTTGATATTTTTAATAGTTATTTACATGTAAACAAATAAACAAGCAGAACAGGTGTTAAATGCATTTTATCGAAACTTTAAACCCAAATCAGCCATTAATTTAATGTTTGAGAAACGTTTTTACTCGTTTTATTTTTAGATATAAATTACAAACCTTCTCACAACAACAAAGACTTATAATGATTATCATTAAGGTATTTCCGCTATCATTTTTTTTATAACAAAGTCTTCTATAGACATATGTAACTACGCTTCAAACGCAAAGAATATTTTTACAAATGTATCAGTTTTTTTATTTTATTTTTGACTTTGAATTTTAGGTTTTTGTCAAAAAACATGATTGCAAAAATTGTATTCCGTACCTACCTGTAAAACCATTAATATTTTAATTGGACACCATGTATGTGACAGAGAAAAATCTTTGCCAATTAAGAGATATCAAGTCAGGTCAATTATCAAAATTCTCTAACAAAATATTTCGAGAATAAAGAGTCTAATGGTTTATAAATACGCTTTCAGCACCCTAAAATACATAAAGTAACCCCCCTTTCATCTGAATGAGGATTTCAGTGTTAGACAGTCTTATTATGAGAATTTATGCATCATAATGCCCTCTGAAAAAATCACAACCAAAAATCTGTTCCCACTCACCGGGTCTATATTATCATTATCAATTTTAAAACCTAGTAAAGTCTGTCTACAGGGTGTAGACTCCACCATGGGGATCTCAGTTATTATAATAGATACGAGATCAGTTAAATTAGGGTAAAGTTGCGCATTTTTCACTGAAATAAAATTTAATGTGTCAATATTAGTTTTTGAATTATTGGAAAAAAACGGAAATTTGTAATTTTCGTTTTTATTTATTAAAGGACGTTCTTAAGACACTTTTTTACAAGGAATCTAAATCTGTCTGTTTTCCAATGCGCTCTTGATATCAGAGTTACAACACTCAACTTTGGATTTTTTTATGGACGCCATATTTAATTTCTGTATTTTTGAAGTCTTTTTGTTCCTAATTATAACGATGTATCACACGATATGATCAAATTTTACATACTGATCAAACTTAAGAAAAAACGTTTTTGCGAAGAGTGCTTTGGAAAAAATGCCACCAATTTTAATTAACAAACTAATTTTGAAGGTGGTGCATTTGAGCATCTTTCATAACTTTGTGTTGTTTTGTTTTGCGAAGAATAAATTCTAGTTTATCACATTTTCCTATTTCAAAATCTTGGTTTTTAAGAAGGTGAGCTTGACGGAAATGTGACTTCCAGATCCAAAGTCAACTGAACCGTCAAAATCTAGTTTGTTAATTAAAATTGTTGGTGTTTTTTCCAAAGCACTCTTCGCAAAAACGCTTTTTTAAAATTTCGATCAGCATGTAAAATTTGATCATATTGTGTGATACATCGTTGTAATCAGGAACAAAAATACTTTTCAAAAATACAGAAATCAAATATGACGTCCATAATAAAATCGAAAGTTGAGTGTTGTAAGTTTGATAGCAAGAGCGCCTTGGAAAATACGATAACAGATTTAGATTCCTTGTAAAAAAGTGCTTTAAAAATATCTTAGTTAAAGACGTCTAGGTCTTTTAGTTTTCGCTTGAAAAAATAAAAACAAAAGTTACAAATTTCCGTTTTTTTATTAAGTTTTCTTTCAGACTATTGTTCAGCATAAAAATGCGCTCTCTTATAATAACTGAGGTCCCCATGGTGGGTCTCGAAAAACGAACACCCTGTAGACAGACTTTAACAAAGATGTAATTTTTCAAGTCCCCATCTGGTTGTGTACATTATAGCTAGATAAAAGCATAAAAACATTTTTGCATTTTAACATGCTACACATTGTTGACGTCATTTTAATCACAGTGTAGGTACGCATACAACAGGAATAAATAATGTACAATTAACTTACATTAAAATGATACGTGAATTACGTCCAAAGTTTTCAATTTTGAATTGTTTTAATCTGAAGGCAACAACAATATAACCCCACAAACTAAATATCACTAAGAAATAAAAATATATAAAACGGTATAAATCATTAGTATTTGTCTAATTATCCACACTAAATTACCTACAGTTTGTCCAAAGATGATAAGATTGCGGACAAAATAATATTGAGTAATTATAAGACTTATCAAAAACGCTATTGTTACTAGTCTTGATAGAAAATTATCATTTTACAATCAAGTAGTAATAATAAAGTGTTTTTTATTCCATTGTGTTTTACCACAACAAAGTAAAATAATGAGGAAATGTCGAAATACAAGATTGAATCGAAATACAAAAATTGAAAATGCGGAAGTGTCTTAACCATGCCAATACGTGTTATAATATTTAATTTGTTGGAAATTCAGTGAACGCTAAAAATAAGCAAGTATTTCGTAATTAGAAAATTCATGAATTGCCTGTGGGCAAACTATTGATGTTACCACCATTAAATGATCGGGAAACGTAGAACTCCTATTTCTAATTCAAGGAATATTGATTGTTAAATGCGAAACATACCTTTAGCCTTCAGATATGTTACAACATCCTTTTCCAAAAACAAAGTATGTGAAATTCGCGGACATACACACTCAGAGTTCCGTTCACTTCACTGTCAATCTGCGAATGACCCACACCACAAGTCATATATCCACTGCCATCATCAGCTGTTGAATTAACTACCAACATTGTACATTGCTGTTTGAATTGGTCACCTACTCAGTGAAACAAAGCTAACTCCAACGTTAAGTTAGAAAATCCTCTGACCATAGCTGGACGAAAATAACTCATACGAACGCTCGGTGCAAACGTACTTACAGAACAAGAAACGATGAGTAACGCTATAGGGGTCTTTCCCTGTTTGCTTTTACACCATTTTCAACCGAAATGGTCTGAGTACACACGAACCTAGCTGGTGAAGAAACTGAACATTGATTTTCCAGTTTCCATGCGTCATATTTTCAACATTCATGGCGTTTATAACAGAAATTTTTTTGTTGATTGCAATCGAAATAATTGCTAATTAGTAATTGACGCCATGTTATGTTTTTCCCTTATATTTCAAATTTTATACAATGGTTATAGTTTTTAAAACAGTTTCGGTTTCTCAGATTTTATTGAAATTTGGTGCATGGCTAAAAATACAGGATGTTTAAGGTTGAAATTTAAATGAGATGATAATCACGGTAGAAGAAGACTAATACGCTATTTAAAACAAAAATTCACGTTGTGAAAGGAAATAAATCATTTTATATTAAAGATAAGATTAAACAGTAGTCCAGTCAGTAAGGGCCAAAAAAGGCCTTTGCCCTACAAAAAGTGGGGTAGTAGTAATTTTTTAATATGTTGTTAAGGTCTAAGCCTTGACAAAAAATCCAAGTTTTCGACCTTGGAGGAGCCGCCATCTTGGATGAAAGGTACAAAAAATCGGTTTTTCCAAAATAACTCCGCAGCGACAAAAGTGTTCAGATAAAAGTTAAAGAAGACACAATTCCTCACATTTTCTGTATCAAAATTTTTTTTGTAAGTGTAATTTGTAACGAGTTACAGCGGCGGAAAGATAAATTCTCAAAAAATAGCAAACCTCCCCATTTTCGACGGTGAATTTCGTAAGAACAAATTACACTTGTTTTTAGTGTTTTTTTTTACAGCGATATCAATTTCAAATTACACTGATTTTTCTTGTTACATATAGGTTATTCATAAATATGAAGCAGGGCCGTAACCAGGATTTTATTTCG